CTATATTCCATCTGCACACAGGACCCCAACAGATGTCACACTCGGATTTCTCTCTCGCACTGGCAGAAAGCAGCCTGGGGAAATCACAGCACAAGACCAGGCAGAGAGCGTCACCCCGGGAACAACTGGCACGGTGCAGGCAGGACACTGCCAGCACTGCTGAGACCACAGCTACACTAACCACCCCCCCCCGAGCAGCCGCTCTCCCAGTTGGCACATAACTTTGCACACCCACACACACCCTCTAAAGGCAACAGCAACTATCCTGAAGTCTGTGGGATCTCGCTTAAAAGATTTTGAAAATCTATTCCTGTAATTAACTTTAGAATGACGCACTTAGCTGTAAGGATAAATTAACTCAAATCCGACTTGCAGCCATTCTAACACAGTATTTCTTGTCCTACGCGCAGCAAGGAGAACAGAGATTCGCACACAAACCCTCTCCAAGAAGGTACTTCTGGATAATTATCACAGGACTTGTTATTTACAAACAATTCCAGTACATGGTTTCTCCAATTTATCTCATTTAGAAAGACTTCAAAAATATTGCTATTTTCTGCAAATTCACAAAAGGTTGACAAAACACACTGCCAAAAAGAAGAACTGCTTAGCTAAATTCCAGCCTGCCCAAGCATGAAGAGACGCTACAAGGTGCATTTATGCCATTACCACGCACGTGTGTGTACTCCTCTATGGCTTGTGGTCCCTGCAGCTACCACCGCCAGAGCCTGAACTCCATTTATTTAAGGGAAGGGGGAAACAGAAGCTGACAAGAAGTTTTTCCCTGTGACACTGCCAACACGCTCTAACATAACCCAGCTGGCCCATGGCCGGGCCAGTCATGTCCAGGACATCCCTGCCCAGGTTATCAGCAAGCGTTTTCTGTAGACTGACAACTTGAAGAAACCTTCGAGTAGTAGCAATTTCAAGCATTCTGCAAGCATTTTAATAGGGCTGGCAGTGCATCAGTGCTGGTTTAGGTCTTACAGCTCTATAACCCACATATGAACTTAAGAGCACAATATTGTATTTGCTCAAAGGGAGGAAAAGGAAGTAGGAAGGGACAACGATGGCTCTCATATGAATGAGACGATGGACATCATCCCATTTCTTTTCCACAGAGGGACATCAAACAACCATAATAAAAAGCTTTTCACTTTCAAAGACCGTTTCAAAGAAAAGCAGGGAAAACGCAACCTATGTAGAGGCGTTTGTCCAGCCAGATTCACAAAGCTCTGATACGCTGTTCAACTTACCAAAATTTTTTACTACGATGACAGAAAGGGAGGAAAGACATAATCTACTACTTTGTGGGAAGAAAAAAACCCCACATGTAACAGAGCAAACTGAAGCTGTCTCCCACGTGTAATATTTATTCTACCCTCAGGCACATTAACAGGACATGCACAGTACTAATGGCACCTGCTCTTCACTCCTTCCGAGGTGCCAGCCTGACACTCGCTCCCCTTTTTCGAGGGCTGCCTTGTTAGATGTTCTTGACAACTGTTTGGACAAGCTCATCTTTATTGCATCTCTGCCCAGCTCACCCGTGCACTTGGAGAAGTCACTGAAAGCCTTTCGAAAGAAGACAAGTGCTGCATTCACATTGATTTCAGAGAGCTCCTTTGACACCAGGAGAGCTGTTAGCAGTCTTCTCTGCCTTTCATAAAAGAAAAAGCTACAAGGAAATTCCCAGTAGGACCATCTTTAGCTCTCAAAGCCAGCTCAGACACTCCCTCCTCCCTGCCTGGGAGAAAGCCAGCAGAGTATGAAGATGCTTAAAGCAAAATAAATTAAAACCTCCACTCTTCCAATCTCCTTTCCAGTTTCTGCCAATCTTTATGCTACATGAGTCACCTCCCATCCCACACCCTGGCCAACACCAACCTTTGTATCAGCACACATCATTTATTCATACAGCTATTCTTACAACACATTATCAAGGAAATAGCCTTCAATGAAAGCAAGGAGGAAAATCCATTTTTCTACTACAAGACTTCAGGCAGATAATTAAAGTCTCAGCAGCTCATTTTCTCCTCCGTGAGGTGGCACCGATGCTCACCTACCTTAGCAAATCCCCACCAGAAACATCTTGAGCTCTCCCAGGATTCAGAAAATAACTCCATAATAACAACAGAGACGCTGGGGAGGTAAAGCAGCTCCTCACACCCCAAGTCGATAATCACTGCCAAACGCTTGTGAAAACCCCACACAACGCAAAAGCCTCTTGGCTTGTTGTAAGCACCTGGGTTCGGGCCAACGCTTCCCTTCGACAGAACTCCACTGGGATGAAGAGGGCGGCCGGTGCTCCCTACAACCGAGCACACCCGCAGGCTCCGCTCACGCCGCGGCCGAGCCCCCCGGCCCCGCGTCCCTCCTGCCCAAAGCCGTGAATCGTGGAAATGCAGCCAGTTTTGCCGTCGAGGGAGCGCGGGGCCCGGCGGACACCGAGCACGGCGCGCCCCGCTCACCCCTGCCCTCCTCCGGTGACACCGCCAGCCGGAGGAGGCGGGACACCCGCGGGGGCAGCCCCGGGGAGACGCGGGACGGCTACAAGGCCTTAAAC